TCTGGCCGGCTGGCAGCAACAATGGCGTGCATTAACCTTTGTGCAGTTGTAACTGCAGTTGCGAGATAGCGGCTCTCGCTCTTTGACGACGGGGGGGACAGTGGCGTCGGGGACGGTGGTGCAAGGGTTACTCCGGACGCGCGGCCGGTACTCTCGAAGCATTTACAACCATTTCGCGTAATCTCAACGAATACATCCATCGGCCACTCCAGCTGGAGTGAACGAGCCAATTATTGTCTCCAGTCTTCGCTCGCGCAGCCCGCCCGGACTGACTGATGTACAGTCATCTCCACAACAAATCCGATGCTCCAGCGGAGCATTCCGCCGAGAGATTTCTCTCTCCTATCGTCGCAATATGAAGTCAATTGTTACACATTTTTACACGAGCCAAATACGAGAACACAAGGATCGCATCGCCGAAACTAGTTGGAAAGCTCCGACGCGGTCGCAAAATTTAATTAAAACAAAATGCGAAATTTTTGTAAATTTCGCCTAAAAAAAAAAAAAAAATAACAGCGCGCACTCAGTTCGTTTCTCACAAATTAATGCGCGATAGTTTTTTTTTTATTTTTTTTTATTTAAGCGGCAGCTTTTATCGCCAATTTCCAGTCGAATTCCCGAAGTTTCGTATCAAATTTTGTTTCACGACTGTAGTCCCGCGGGAACGGTATTACTAGTGAAACTTACAACGTGCTCGTAATCCTAATTGAGTTTGAGTAATAGTCGAGAGATGGAAGACCACCTACACGTGTATCTCTCTTAGAAGATCAGTAATATTCTCCAAGCTTTCGATTACGCGCGAGTCTGCGGGTGCGTTTCAAGACGGGGATGGCGCCTAACTTATTGGGTTAGCCCTCGGGATCGATGAACCGGAAGATCGCGAAGATGGCAAATAGGGGTCTACTTTGACATCGTCCCATTAGCGCCGGATAAAAATGGGAGAATCGCAGATCTTGGTACCCGCGTGCGCGTGTATATATATATATATATATATACAAGGATATATATATATATATATATATATATATATATGTACACGAAGGGTGCACAATTCTGCCGGTAATTGCGTTTCGTCCTTAGATGACGTCGGCAATTTTCAGCGACGAGACGCCGAGACGTTTCGCACCCACTTTTACGAAAGCCTTTGATGCGCGAGTAACGGAAATCATGACGTAATACGCGGATCTATAAGTCTATTGAAAAAATTTCTGAGAGACAGAAGAGTAGAGCCTTCTCCACCAAGTACCGCGACAATCAACACAACATCACGTTTACGAAAAGCGTAAACTCCATTTTCTAATCTAATTCTTTTCAAATAATATACACGGGTAATAATTTATAATAATCAAAGATGGTGAAAAAAATTGAAAAACAAAAGAATTAAGACAAGAAACTGAAATGTTAAGAAAAACGAAAAAAAGAACGCGGATAAAGCTTTATTATATAATACGACGAGAAGAATTGCAAGTTGCGAGATTTCTTAATTAACAGCTAATTTCGCGACGATGTGTCGGAAATTAAATTTTAGAGCGCTTAAACATGGTGACTATAAAACTCTTTGGTAGACTAATCGAAGTACGAGCATCTGAAGTTTCTGACGTACTCATTAATTAACGTTGAACAGGCTGTGCGTGAGTTAATTGCGAATTATGCGCTTGTGACGAAGGACGCGCTCTTCAGAAACCTGCTGCGTAGCTAAACCGTCGATTAAATTCTCGTTTGTGATTATTACGGCGGCGAAATTATTACGGTCAAAATCGTTTAGGAATGTAGAAAGACTTTTTCTCTCTTTCTTGGTTAAAAAAAAAATATATATATATATAATCTTGCGGAAAATTGTATTAAAAAAAAAAAACTTTTACACGTACAAAAATATTGAGATTTACTTTCATTACTTTTATTTTTAAAAATCTGAAATGTTCGATGACTTTGTCGATATCGAATTTAACGACGTATACATCTGCAACGAATGTTTTTTTTTTTTTTTTTTATTCCGCACGTTTCGAGCAAATGACAGAGTCGAGAAAAGCGACTTGATGGAAAAAAGCGCAATTGGGAAGAATCGGATTCCGAGAAGAGAATTATATAAGTGTCGGATCGTGTATGAGGGAATTGTTCGGTGAGTGACCAAAATGACGAAGTTGTTAAGTGCATTATGCTAACTCCTCCCTGTGACGGTAAAAACGATGCATTAGTATAAAGGGGGGAAAGGTTTGCCGTCGCGCTAAAGCGCGAGACGCAAAGTACGTGCGTCGGACCGTTTGTCAAGATTGCGAGTAAGTTATTGTGCCTGTCCGACAGAGAGACGTCTCTCTGCGTCGGTTCCCCCGCTCTTCCCCTCCCCTCGCTCTCCACAACCGAGAAGAGGGAAAGGCGGCAATAAAATCTTCTCTCTCTCCGACCTTAGATTTACTTTTACGTAGCCAGCGCTTTTTAAACGTTTACGTTTTATTGCGTTTCGCGGGAGAACTTTGCACAGTCGTATTCTCTCATATCTTTCGCATCGTCTTTTGCGGGCTTTCGCGCGGTAATGTCCGTAATTTTATCGACGCCTTATCAGCCTCCGCGCATCAGATGTAAAAATATATAAGCGAAATGTGAGACACTACAGAGACAAGACACACACACACAGAGACACGCCCCACACATACACACACATCGAGAAAAAAATACAAAACTTTGTTTTTAATAAACGAATAGTGGAAGAGAAAAATTCCGCGGATCCCTTCCGCCGTTTCTTCGCGGGACCACTTTGATCCCGCAAGAAGTCGCGCTATAGTTCGCCCACCCGGATAGGAAATAAGGTGTCCGTGGAAATCTCATATGGCGGGCTCTCGCATAAAATAGGCTGAATAAATCACGTAGTCGGCGAGTTGGTGGATGCAAACGGGCCGGCGCGCGAAGGGGAGCGCCAGGCAAGACAAACTTTCGCCTCTAGGACGGGGGTATGCGCTTCCGCTTCTCCCCTCGTCCTTTTCTCTCTACCGCGGGTTTTCCTCCTTTCCTACCGGAGCGAACTCCTCTCGCTCACAGCATCCCAACCACCTTCGACGCCCCGTAGCCGTCGTCGTCGTCGTCGTCGTCGTCGTCGTCGTCGTCGTCGTCTGGGCGCGTTTCGCAGTTGAGCGGCGCGCCGCTCTAAGGAAACTGATATTGCCGGCAATATCCAGTTGTTTGCATTGATTCGGTCTCTCTGAGAATCCCGAAGAGCGATTCCCGTTCTAACCCGGGGCTTCACATCCGCCGTACGAAAACTCATCCCACGTTTGCGCCTATCGCCTGTCGCCTCATCCTCTTTCTTCTTCTTCTTCTTCTTCTTCTTCTTCATACGGCACCGACAATGCCCGCCTTCTCTTTGCGCACGTGCGCATAGATTATTGAAAAGGCATCCGCCGGAAGCTGATGCGATCCCGCGCACGCATCTTCGTTTAGAATCTTCGAGGTCGGATATTCTCTCTTCGCCGTTATTTTTTATCTTTATTTTATTAATCTCCGTACAATGGAAATGCGTATCGCGATCTATAAGTTATTCATTAAAAAACGCGCACATTTTTATTGACGTAATAATTAATTTGCAAACATCTAACGGAGAAAAAAGAAGAAAAATCTCAATGTATGTTATAACAGTCCGATTTAATGCGCGAATTAATCCCGGATAAATGTCGCGAACTGTAACTGCAAAAAATGTTTTCGAGAACCAGGCGAGCCGTTACCTCGTCCCGCGTCGTGAAAAACTCTCCCCGTGGAAAACTGCTTCTGCATCAGGGAGCACCGTAGGACGACGCGCAAGACTAGCGATGCCTATAATTCAGGCGATCTATCACCGCGAATGACGTCACCTTCTCATAGAGAAGATGGGGTCGACGGAAGGGGTCTTCATGCAAACTACCCTGCCGCCGTTCCGATGATATATCCATCGGCACCTGTTAGACGACAGCGTCTGAGCGTGGCTCGACGCCATTCCCCGTAGTCTCGCGTGGATGCGCGACTTAAGCCTCCTTACCATGAATTATCGAGTACCACTTGCTGGAAAGTTGAGACTACGGGGGCTCGATTGTCGGTGTCGAAGCTCCTACGGAGTAGCGCATCAGATTTTCACAGCGAGGACAATAAATTTTAGAGGGAACGTTAAAGAGAGATATGTTGCATCGAATTAGTCCGACTGGAAAGAACAGCTTTTTATCTTAAAAACAGAAAACAAAACAGAACGAAAAGTCTAGTATCAGTTTCCGGAAACTGACGTGGCACTTAACGTGTTAATGAATATATGTTTGAAAAATATTGCACTATTTTCTTTACTGACAAGAGTACTTAATTACACCGAGCAAGCTAATGCAATATTATATTTTGTTATAAATTTCTCTCTCTCTCTCTCTTGTATAATAAAATAAAATCTATTTTTTTTATATAAAAAATAGTAGATTTTATATATCTTTTATATTAAGTTCTTATAAGCTTTCATATAATTTATAAAACAATTACAAAAAGTTGAAATGTATGTATATATATATTTTATTTCTATAAATCAAGTATCCAGTTTTAATACTTGTTAGCAGAGATACTTGTTTAATGTTGAATAAACGTATTTTAAAGAAACACTTTCAAAAATATGCAATTGGTTACGTTAGTAACCAATTCAAATGGGTTTCAAAGGGCAAATGTTTCAATTATCACTGGTAATTACTGATACACGGTGTTAGAATTTCGTTACGCATTTCCAATACTGACAAGATACACCGATTCACTGTCGTCTCGCCAAGCACGGCATGCTATATAACGTCAGTATTGAATTAAATATCGATAAATCACTTTAATAAAACATTACCGTGAAACAACATGAGAACGAGTAAACATAATTGTCAACATCGTTTCTTGCCGGTCACGTCAGTATAGGATATCACCATATTTCGGACGACTATATTTACTAGCAAATCCGGATGTTGCACAAGCTGGTGCATAAATATTATATTGATGGATATTATATTGATAGTAGACATTTATATTGATGCTTGAAAACCTTTATGCAGTTTATTTTTAATAATAAGCCAACGCATACACAAAAACTCCAAAAATAATTTCTACATATCCGATATGTCTTATTATGTGTTAGAGCAAATCTAATCGTTTTAACATTATTATTCGTTTTTGAGGAGATATAAACGTTTTGCTTTTTTTTTTCTTCACTACGGTTACGCCATGACTGACAAGGAAACTTCTATAATTTCGCGCCTTCTTCCATCTCCACCAGTTGTTTATGTCGTAGTTGCGGATTATCCTTGTGAAGATGCAGATTGTGCAGGTATACCAGTTGCAGGTGCTGCCGGTATAGTTGCAGGTGCGGCTGGTATAGTTGCAGGTGCGGCCGGTATAGTTGAAAGTGCTGACGGTAATGCTCCTGGTGAAATTGCGGGTACTCCTGGTGGAGTTGCAAGTCTAGCAAACGGCCGTATCATTTTATCATTAAATATATGAAGAAATCGGGCCGGGAAATTCAAGAAATATTCAAGGGGATATTCAAGATCATAAAGATCATTCGAGCGAGCTGGATTCGAGGGGGACAAACCCTGGTAAGCGGGAAATCCCTGTTGTCCTCTCGTTTCCTTCGTACAAAAATATAAAGTTAAAACATTGTTACTCTCCAAGTTACATGCGAACAAACAGATCAGATTCGTAAACTTACGGAAATAATGGCGAAAGCCACGGTTAGCACGATTAGGCACACTGTCAGTTGCTTCATGATGTAGCACTGGATTTTCACTTCTCTTCAATGCTGTGTCGCGGTGCAGCGGCCGCATTTATATCGAACCGTTCAACAATCATCTTTTTGTTGAGCATTGAAATGAAAAGAATGATCTGTTTTACCGCTTGCGTAACACACGATAACGAAATATCTTTATACATATGACTTAATGAGAATAATTTATGCACAAAGTGTCGATACATTCCGCATTCCATTTCAGACACACAGGAAAATAATAATGTGTTGCCGGTATAAAACCCGTCACACCATATGTTCAAACGTAACAAACGTTTGTTTGACAAGTGTTGTTTCAAAAAATTTTCGATTAAGTTAAGAAATTATGGCAGTCGTCTTTACAACCTCGACGTTATTTGTTGAGTATTTTAAAAGCTCTCGTTTGTTCTTTATATAAATAATTAACACATGTGAGGGCTACATTAATTTTGGTCGATCTTCCGTTCCACAGGCGACGTGTGAGTATACATTGTAAAAATAAGCCCAGCTCGTATCACACATAAGCTACCCAAAAAAAGTGAGATAAAAGATTCTTTCTTTCTCTAAAAAAGAAATCTCCAGGTATTTAACCCTCGAGTTCGATTACTTTTTACGTTGTTTACACGCGAATCAATTTTTGTTTCGACTATTTTAGTCGAACGCGTTTCAGTTCAAATTTATTCAGCAATCTGTAAGATAGAAGACTTAATTGTAAAATAAATTTTAATTCGTCACACGATCGGAAAGAGCCGTTGGAAACCGGGGATTTGCAGCGAGAATTGTAGTAGTCCCGACTCTCGGAAATGTACATTTGTCATTTTCCAGAGGTCGCTCTCATTACGAATTCGGCGTCTACTTGGGAATCTTGCGCAGAGCACGTGCTTTCTCTTGCACGGGATGGCTGGAATATTTCTCATTCAACAAGAAAACGATAAATTTCTCGTACGCAAGGGTGGCGCGACGCATTAGCGCACGCCTGAAGGCTCGTGCAAGAGGGGTGGTTATTTACGAACCGCCTTTGAAGCGGAAAGCACTATATCGTTGTCGTCGTCGTCGTCGTCGTCGTCGTCGTCGTGTCTCGCTGCAATTGGGTTAAGCCTAAAACTCGCCCCTAAACTCGTCGACGACCCCCGACGGTCAGGTTCAAGCTTCCTGCATATCGTGCATCGCATTTCTCTTTCGACGATGCATCACCGGTCGGTTGCACTTCCGTTTCGACAATGTCACGAGCCCCGACCCTAGTTTCTGCAAGTACCTAATTTATTACCGTCACTTGCGGCCGGTTTGTGCGGATTCACTTTATCGTGAATCTAATAACTGACTTATTTCGCAAAAAAACTCGTTAATTAATTCATACGAACAATTTTTTTATTTACTAACGTCTCATGTTTTTTCTTTTTATTGTTGCTGATGAGATGTACGATCAAAAAACAGCGACGATTATATTTTTGCGCGTATTTCGTTATATTTTCACGAAACTACGATGATCCTTTCAGCGAGCATAAATGATTGAATGCGTATATGCTGTATGTACAATATTAGACGCGATGCTAGACGGACAGAGAAGAAATTTGATCGATTACGACGTCGGAAACGAGTATCAGTTCAGATGTCACTCTCAAGGGCAGTCACAGGTCATTAACCACCCTCTTAGTGGATTTCTTAGTCGGTGATTCGCGCGCAAACTCCGACGCTAGCGAGAGTGACATGCGTCATACTAATGCAGTTACACAATCTCACACGATGTCGCGTTGAAGTTTGAAACTTCGTCGAGCGAAAACATATATTTCGCGCTTTTGTTGAGCAATAATGTGAAAAAAAAAAACACTTTTTTTTTATTGCATTATCTTATGGAATTATATCGTAAAAAATCGATATTACATATCTCTCAAAAGTCAAAACCACTTCTCTTCATGTACCAACCTGCACTAACGAAGTACGTAGATATGATATATACAACAGGCTCTTGCTCCGAAAGGTAAAAGCCTTATTACATATCAATATACGATGGAATATGTTTAGTTTGCCACAAAAGAAGACCCGGAACGTTTCTCGTAGAAATATAGTTTTTTCAAATGTTCCAAATTTCAGCGACGTATCCAACGTCTCGTCTGAAGGCGGGAAATAAATTTTAAAGCGAGAAACGTCGCGAACAATGAGAAAAATTCGACGTCGTTTTAATCTTACAAAGCCACACAGTAAGCAATTTTTAATTTCCACGAAAAGCGAGCTGTCTCCGACGCTCTCTTTCTATCCGATTCCGAGGCGAGCAGACGTTTCCCTAACCGCAGAACCTACACACATTGAATTTTAGCGGGAGTGTGTTACGGCACCACACCGGTCATCAGGATTCGGTTAACGCGCGAGGTCGTTCCTGAATAATTAACGATCGTAGCCGCTTGAATAAAAGTATTCCATTATGCGACCTCCTGTCCCGTCGCGCTCACTCCGCCGCGACTCTTCGACGATAATGGCAGTTTCTCGTTTCCGGTAATTTTCGCATCGGCTCGGATTTAACGACGCCGCGGCGATCGGTTAAGTCCCTCGGATCAAGTTTATTAAATTAAATTCTTAGTCTGATGATGGGAGCTAGCGACGTTTGAATTTTATCTCACAGTTCGATTATATGTTATAAATAGCAAAAAAAAAAAAAAAAAATTTACGACGTCAAACGCTCTGTTACAATAAACAATAATTTTTATTAAATCTCTTCAACAGTTTTGATAAAACAACAAAAAAGAAGAGATTTTGCGTTAACGGCAGCTTCGCTGCGAAAAGAAAAGAATCGATTTCACGCTCGGGAACACGCTTGTGCGAACGAACGATCGATGACGCGGTCGCCGCCGAAAGTTTTTGTAAACGTGGAAAATGGCCGGGGCCAGCGCGACGACGAAGCCGCCGTATCCCCCGTGAGATTTCATTTAAATGCAGATAACCTCGCGTAAGTGGCGCCGCGTCACTCGACTTTAATATCGATGGATATCATTAGTTCTCCCCTTCCTCTCTTGCCCCCCCCGCGCCCTATCGTTCTTTTTTCCTTCGCTCATCCCCGTTCTTCTTTCTTCCTGCAATGGATCTGCGTTATCTCGCGCGCTCCTCGAGTTGACTTTATATACGCGAGGATATTGCGGACGCGTCTATGACTCGTTCCTCCCCTGTAGGGAACCGGCTACGAGAATCTACGTCGTTTCCTCTACGGGCGAAAGCGAATCGGGCGAGCGTTACTTTCATCGCGAGTAGCAAGGATCTACGGCTACCGCGCCTGTGAGAAACGCCGTTAAAAGAAAGAAAAAAAAAAAAAAAGAAGAAGAAGAAAGACATCGGGCAACTGCCGCCCGCCATTATTTTCATAATGATAGCATCGGTGCCCGCGGGTTTTACTGTTCCACAAATGAACTTTCAAATTGAAGCGTCTCCGAGCGTCGCCGAGAAAATTCAGCCATTATTTATTTAAGAGAAGCCGAGATAAGTTCGTTTACATACAAGAGGTAGATAGTTCGCAGATCGATAATGCGCATAAATGTGTTTTTTTTTCGCGAGGAAAAAAACTTTTTTTTTTTTTTTTTTCTCACAAGAGATTGTCGAGGTTCAGATGTTTTTATTCATTCCATTAGCTTTCGCGGAGACTTAAGGGTCTCGACGTGATCGTCGAATTTCCTTAAGCGAGCTAAAATCGCGAACGGCAATGACAAAACGTAAACGCGTCTTTTAACGCCTCTCGACAACACAATGGCCGTCGTTGCCGGTCGATTGACCGCACTCAGCGGAGGACCGGAACGTTTTACCGACTACCGTGTCGAGGTGACGGCGGGCGCCGTCGTCGTCAACGGACAGGCGGCAGCGGATGGGGCTGCGACGGGGAGTTATGTGCCGGCTAAGGGGATGCTTTCGAATCCTGAGCCTTTCGCAGGAGTGCCCATGGAAAGACACAATAGTTTTAGCTTCGACAATCGGTTGATTGGGAAGAATTACGAGACGATTGTTCGGTGCCATCGTTCCGGAGCGAAGTGGATGTGCCTGGAAACGGAAGAGAGAGAGCAAGCGCGTAGGAGGGCGGCTAACGAGGGCCAGGAACGCGTCCTATTCCGCTCCGCAGTCGCCAGCTCAGCGTTACTCGTCGAGAGTTTCTGGTTTAACGTCATTTAACGCGACAACCTCCTCTCTTGGAAATCTAAAACACACACTTTTCCCTCGGCTGCGGCGAACGAGCGCGGCGCGTTCCGCGGATAATGCCATGCGCATGACTTGAATCGCTTCGTGTGTGTGTGTCGGTAATGCATTTTGAATATCCCGGCGTGGAAGCGTAGAAAACCGTGTAATGGCGGCGAAATCAAAAAATAAGAAATGATGAAAAAAAAAAAAAAAAGAAAAACCAAGATTCAAGCGAGAACATTTTCACATTCAGCACAAAAATATATTATGCTCTATTTATAGAAAAATACAAAAACTGCGTTAAAAATTTTTTATATTAAACATTACACCCACAGCTTTCTATTTTTAACGTATTATTGCAAAAATCCACAAACTGAGACAATGTTTCTCATAGCGTGTGAAGTTGAACATGTTCGGCGGACAAATTTTTACCTGACAATAGCGGGATTGGAAGAGATTCGTTTTTCGGCGCGCGCTCGAGCGAACGCACACTGGAGAAGGTTATCTTTCTCTCCTTGCGTGTGTGTGTGGAAACACACGCGCGACGGGTTTATGTACTTTTATTACGTGACGAGCCTCGCGAAAGAGAGAGAGAGAGAGAGAGAGCGACATTGTCTTCTCGAACGGAGAGATGTATCGCGCCGGGGATTTTGCTTGCGGCGTCACAATCGCGGCGCGCAGAGAAGCGAGAAGCCAAGACTTAAGGACAAGAGAAAAAGAGAGAGTTCTCGGTTAGCATTACGGATCACCATAACTTAGCACGGCCGGACAATATGGACAATCAGGCTCCTTCACGCTACGCTGCTCGCCGGGTCCGACTGGTTTCGGGATCCGATTCGACGGGACGAGGTGCGGTCAAGACGTGATCCGCAGCCCGAAAAGGCTGCGACAGTCTCCGTGCCTG